ACATGATTTAGAAAAACTTTTACAAACGATTTACAAGGTAAAAATATTAGTACAAATAATTCAAGGACTTGTTATAAAACTACTCTTCAACAAATTTCAGAACCGGAGGAACACTTCTGATAGGGCCTATGAGCAATTACTGAAAGATACAGTAAGGCAACAAGTATAACCAAACTACCAATACTCTCCATTCATAAGCATCATGTCAAATTAGGCACACAGGTAAAAAATTAATAAATAACAAGCGAGATTCAAACATATCAAGGACAAGATACGATCACATCCAACCATTACAATGAAGAATAAAATGGAGACAGTCCCATATACCTTATCCCAACCATACTCGTTCCACACCAGGGACAAGTTATTTGCGATATTGAAAGGACCATTTTCATAAAATACAGCCAATTCACTGCTGCACCCTGGGCCTCCAGTCAACCATATAACAACAGGGTCCTTCTTGTTTGTGCGAGACTCGAAGAAAAGGTAGAACATCCTACAGTATCACACAAGTTGAAAAGTGAGAACACAAAGCAAGCACCTAAATTCAATACATAAAATTCCCCACAATATAACAAAGTTTAACCAATTGATTCCCAGAAATTGAAGCTCAGCTAACCATAAAACCCTAAAGTTCAAACCAAATCCAAATAAACCCCCAAAAAAAAAAACTTCAAATTGACCATGCAACACAAAATTAGCAATTTGATAGCATTAAAACGTCTCAATCCTAAGCGTTTACAAATCTGACCTTGCGGCATGAGAATGCTCGATCTTAAAGTAGCCGGCATGGTGGCTGAGGTCCTCGAGGGAGACTCCGGAGCCGACGAGGTTGGGGAGATTGAAGCGCTTCTCGACAAGCCTCGGCGAATCGTGGAAGATCGAGGAATCAGGGCCGTCGATGATGTTGATATCTTCCTTGGGGAAGAGATTGAAGGCTCTGATGAGCTCCTGCGCGTGTACGGACGGGAAGCTGGACCTGGCGCTGCCCAGAGGGTTCGTGAGCTTCGCAGAAGCGACTGTAGAGAGAAGAAGAAGAAGAAAGGGAACAGGAAGAGACATCGGTCCTTTCATTGCTTGCGCTCTGCGTTTTGAGTTGGAGAGAAGAAATGTAACGGGAGAGAAAATGGAGTACAGGAAAGAAGAGAAGGCGGTAAGGTAACTACCGGTCTCGACGCCCGACGATATATAAGTGGACTATTGAGTAGTTGGGGTGAGTGGTTGGGGTATTCATCCCATGCGGTCAAGTATAGATGCTGAAATGATCAGCACCGTTCGATTTAGTTTCGTGGGGCCTTTTGAGCGTGAGTTGGCGGAACTGGTTGCAGGGGATTGGGTGCTGAAACGGTGTTCGGTTTGTTGTGGTGACGTGTCCTCGTTGCTTTCGGTTGCAAAAAAGGAGTTGCCTTAAAATAAGCCACAAAACAAGAAAATGGTGGGGGTTGTGATTACGTGTAAACCGGCTCACTGTTAAAGGAGTGCACGCAGAATGGTTTCTCTTAAGGCTGAGGATGATCCCCATTCATTCCCATCTTGTAAAAGGACAACATGTATTTTGTACCGACTTTGGAGATTGGTACCTTTTTTTTCTGAAAAAACTAGGTAGTCGTATGAAACATGAAGAAAGTTGATGAATAATTTTTCAACAAGGCGTTACCAATCTACTCATGTTATAAACTAGGCCTTAATAATATTACGTGACTCTATTTCAATTCCGTGCAATAATTTTTCCTAATCCAGTTGTAAATGTATAAAGTTTGAGCAAAGAGGTTGGAGTGGAACTTAGCTATGGAAAGAGAACTAGGAAGGGTGGTGCTGATTGAATGATTTTTTGGATGAGAATGAAATTGAGTATTGATGGGATCTACTCAGAAAATGAAATACTCGTGAGTAGAGTTAGGGGCTTTGGCTCTTTTAAATCAAGACTTGTGCATTACAATTACATGCAAAACAAACAATAGCAAATGCCAATTCAATGATCATCCTAAGTGATGTCTTTGTCAGAAGCTATATATATATATATATCAAAACCTTAGCTTTACAGCAAAGTCTGTAGCCAACAACTTGAGGTAAGGCGTGCGCAAATGATTGTCAGTTGTTGATATATATATGAATTATAAAAATACGTATAAATCGATGTGTATTGCACAAACAGAACCTAGTTACAACTAATAAGGCATCTATTAGATAACTGATCGATATAATGTTTGTCTTGTTTATACATTGTAGCTGTGTCTAGAGCCCTTAACTGTTGAATAGAACAATAACTTTCTAAACTTTGGATGTACTAAATATAGGCCTTTACAAAATACACAAACACTTTTCCCTAATAACAAGGGAACAAGCTGTAAGTATGTCATGAAAAGTTACGATCTCACTTGAGCAAGCCGTGCCCTCAATTCTTCTAACTCTTCCTCATCATCGGCACCCTCTGCTATAGCTTCTTCCTGCATGAATTAATAACAAGAGTTATATCCTTGCAACTTGCAAAGGAACAAAGAGAAGCTAGAAATGGAGTCTATTGCACGTACGTCTTGTGAAGCACTAGCTCCCTGGGCAGCTACCTTTGTCCTCTCCTTCCTGACCGCTTCTGGAAGCTGTGCAGCTGTCTCACCAGCTATTTCACTCAGGACCTTTTCAACTTCTTCTTCGGTTTCCTCTTCTATATCTTCCGAATCTAATGCCGAATCAACAGCATCATTTACAAATTCTTCAATCACCCCAGCCTGTATGACCAAATAGTCTTACATCTAACGATTTGAAGAAAATAGAAGCTATATATAAAGTAAACAAGCACCTAAACAAATTCCACATACCGAAGCTTCAGATATGCTTCATTCTCTTCACATTTTCAAAAAAATATGGTTCCCCAAACAAGGAGCCAGTCAAAGGATGTACTCAGATATAATTCATTCTTATTGTCAAAAGGATTTGGTAATATCCGGCACTCTCATTGTTCATTGATTAAGGAAGAGAAATTGAAAATAATAAGCATATTCAGAATAAATAACACCCTTGGTTCTACAATAAGTGAAGTCAAATATCTCAGTCGAATCATTTATAGGATAATTATGTGACATAATACACCATATAACATTTCAAGACAGATAAACAGTAAAAAAAGAAGGAAAAAGCAGATATAATCCCCACTTCAACACTTAAGAAAGTAGGGTCATCGGAGGGAGTCATAATTTCTAACAGCCACCTAAAAAGTGTTTTAAGGGATCTTACCTTGGTTATTTCTTTGGTGAATTCTTGCATTGTGGCAGCCATTTCCGGAGCTTTCATGAGGTTATTGACAAGTTTCATGACCTCTGCACTCTTTGACAGATGACCAACAGTACGGGCAAGTGCTGCAAGCACATACAACATATAAATAACAACAAGCCGACTTAAACCAAGGGGAAGGGGTGGGGATGGTTTGAGGAGTTACATAAAAGGTACAAATGTGAGAAAACATAAGCATAGGTGAACAAAAATAATGTTTATATGTGTAAAGCAATACCAACACTTTCTCCGAGGTGCATTGATATTGAATTCAGTTGGGCCTTATTTTCATGAAGGCGATTTACAGCTTTCCTCGACATCAAAATTTCCTTTGCAAGTGCCTGAACTTAATTCACAGATTGATCAATACACAGAATCTACATGATATGAAGTAGACATCCATCACAAGGATTAAGGAGCACATTACTAGCATTCTACGTGTAAAAAGCCTACGAATACAAAAACAGGTTCTGATTATACTGAACAAAGACATCAAATGGCCCAAAACCATAAAGCAGAAAATGATTCCAATGGGCATAACCCCGACATTAGTGAACAATTGGACTTTGGAACCTTCATAAACTAACATGCAAAGCTTTCCCTTCAAGTTCACATTTTGAAAATAATGCTTTTGTGCAACCAGTTTCTAACTTGCTAGCAAACTAATTGATGATTGAGGAGAGATTAACATCAAAATTTACAGTACCTTGGCTGTGCCCATGTCATTTCTCTTGGCAGCCTCTCTAATGGATTTATGCACAGCTTTCTCTTCTTTCTGAATATCTGAGAAACAAAAGCATCTCATTTTAGACTAAATTAATCACCAAACCACAAAAAAACAGACAAACCCATAAATTAAAACCATTGAAAAAAAAAACACAAAGGAAAGCAAATCCAAACCAACTGAAATTGACCCAGAACAAAAAACATATGTAATTTGCAAAAGAAGGAAACTTTAATAGAGATTGAGAGAGCATTGCCTCTGATTTGGCGCTCGAGGTTGCGGCACTCTTGGCGAAGTCGTCTCTGCCAATCTCTCAGCTGCTCTGAAGGGTTGGGTTTCGGTTTTAACAAGCTCTTGACTTTGTTCATCTTTTTTAGTTCGTTAATTTTGTTCCCTTCGTTTTCTCTCTTTCTAATTCTCAGGAAAACGAAGAATACTGAACAGCAATAATGCTCTCTCGCTTGTGATTTAAGATCCAATCCAAGCGTGTGCATCTATTTTCTCCTTTCCCTCCACTGAGACTTTTCCTTTTCCGCGTTTACCTTCTTCTATAAAGTGTGAAAAACAAATGGCAACTACGACCACCAACTGTCCTTCGCCGCGCTTTCCTTTTCCTGCTTTCAAGGTCTCATCAATTTAAATTTTCTTTTAAAATCAAAAGACGAAAGGGGAGGGGTTTTTTTTTTTAAAAAAAATAAATTTTTTTAAAATATTTATATATATATTTTATTTTTAAATGAACGGGAGAACAAGTGAAGAATTTAATTTAGGACATGTTTTAACGTTGGAAAGAGAAGTATCACTTAGCCGAGACTCGAATTCTTCTATGTATCAGAAGTTTAAATCCTCAAATCTGTTTGTTGATATACTATGATGAAGCGTAAATCTTAAATGTTCAATAGTAACTTTGTAAATTGTAATAATTGGATTGGTAATTGTGGTAATGGGTAGACGGATTGAAACACATGATCCTCAGAAGTTGGACCTCTGATGGCAAAGAAGCAACAAATACAACTAACTTCTCCTTTAAATATTCATAGTCATAGTTCAGAATTAGAACTGAGTGGGATTACATTAATTTTTTTCCCCAACAATTGAAGAGGTAATGTTGTACAATATCTAGATTTTACAATGCAAAGAATTAAGAAGATGAAAAAGGATTTTCCTTTTGTTCCTAGCAATGCTTTCCCACCTCATGTATCAGATCATCTATATGAAATTAGATTATATTTAGGGACTGTAAGGGGTTTTCACGACTTCTTCAACTTTAATCTGTCTCCGCACTGTCTAATCGAAGAGGCCTTCATCATGCCATATATCAACTAAAAAGTCTACCATTTCCTGCACAGTACACAGGTCACTTAAGTTCGCCATACTAAGAAAACGTCATTACAAGATATCGCAAAATCTGATTCTACAAATGAAACACATTGAATCATCTTGGGAAACAAACAAAAAAACTTACAGTTAAGGGGATTGGCTCAGGAAAAGAGTCATGCGTCGAAAGCAGATCTTCATATGCTGTTGACCAGCTGCAACATAAAATTTTGCATCATCTTCCAGAAATTCTTTCAGTAGCTATAATTCAACCGAAATAATTGGGCAAAGCCACAGATTATCATCAATAATCATGACGGAGGTATGTAAGTTATTGCCATCAACACCATTCTAATGTTACAGGAACTTCTTAGCTTATGTTGGTGTTTAAATTTGAAGGTGTAAAATATTTGAAAACACGCACCCACACCAACATATATATTAGTATATAACATTCCAAAACAGAAAAAGAAGCACCTTTTTGGCAAACCTGCAAACTAAAATTCAAGAACTGAGATAGAGGTTTCTAGTTTACTAACATCCATGATGTAAATTCTTTAATTGTGACTATAACAACAACTAACTCCATTCTATCCATGATGCTTTTTGAAGAAGAATTACCTTATGATTGGATCCTTTGCCATTCTTTGCATCCGCTGATCACCAACCCACTTTTTTCTACTCTCATGCCAAGCAATTGCAGCTACGAGGTAAATTAGCTTGATTATCTCTCCAAAGAACAAAATGATCGATACCAATTACTTAATGACAAAAACAAATCAACTTTTGTTTTTTGGGTTGTTAGGAAATGATAATGGGGACTTACATCGTCATCAGAGCAAATATTATCTAAAGAACTTACCATAATTAACAAATACAGGAGTGCTCGATTCTTTTTCTGCAGGCCTTTTTTCTTCATTGGTAGATTTAGAATGAACTAAAGATTGCTTTTCATTGTAACAGGAATTTCCAGTATTCACCTCCATTTTCTCCAAGTTGAGTGACCATTCCTTTCTGTGACGACACTAAGGTTGTTGAGAACTGTTTCTTTTGAGAAGCACCTTCCAGTGTTTTTACTAACACATATGGCCACCTGAAATAAAAGCAAAATTTTCTGAAGCAATTACTGCTTAGCAATATGGAAGCTCCACCAGGTGACAAACAGAGAAACGAAAGATAAATGAAGAAGAACGTATCATGTAGCACCTGTTGTTAAACATAAATAACTACCTATAGGCAAATTACTAACTTCATAAGCTCCACTATTGCATATAATTGATTTAATTATAAAGTCATATGCAACCATGTTGAAATATCCAAATATTACTTTCCTCAAGCTTTACAATATTCCAAGAATAGGGCCTGCAAATTCAATTCTGCATATTTTACTATCCATGTTGATTGCAAAAAGTGAGCATTGTTTTCATGCCTTTCATCATTTACCCAGAACCGAGCTTAAAAGATGATTCTTTGATAACAAAACAAAGAGGCTACCGTAAGAACCGTGACCTAATTTGACAGAAACCCAATTGAAAGAATGACCCTTGCAACAAGAACACAAGTCATGATAATGATACAGAATTTACATTTCAATTCTTCAAGCAAAAATATAAATCATTCTTTGCAAAACCAGAACATAGATAATTCAATAATGAACCCAGAACCAAAGGAACTTAATCTTTAGGTATTAACCTTTAATCCATTTTCTTCACCTCCAAACTAACTAATCTACTTCACATTTATTTCCTTTTTGTTGCTGTACAATGAAAATAACTAAAAGACCATATCTTTAAGGCAATTTTCAAAGATTAAAATGAAACACTACGTAGAAGATAACCATATCAGAAAAGACAGATCCGGAGAAAAAGGGGAAGTTGACAGAAATGGAAAACCCACAAGATTTTCAAACATTTCCAATGCATTTCTTCCATAAAAGCCAAAAACAAAACAACCCCATTTGAGATCTATGAGCACACTTCATACCAAAGCCGGAAACTCATAAGAAAAAGGAAAAACAGAGATGAATTTAATGCTAGACAAGTACCTTGTTGCCTACGTTCCACGGGAAGCGTTCACAGATTACAAAGAAAAAATAGGCGGGTTTGGTTTGGGTGAGCAGCAATGCAATAAGAAGAATTAGAAACGTTTCTTTTGTTTTTCTGGTTTTCTGGTTTTGTTGGCTTCGTGCAGTGGTTTTCAGTGACTCTCTGTTGCCGACGTGGATGTGATTCGGATTGGACTAAAAAGTTTCTCCACAAATTGAATTTTGAAGTCATGAGACAATGTCTTCCAGCCACCTCCGCCTCCAACTCCAACACGAAATTTAATTTTGAAGAAAAGTTTCCCTTTTTTTTTTTTTTTTTTTTTATAGAAAAAGAAAATATCACTTTTTTAGACGCCCACTTAAATAGTTGAGTACTTTTTCTTCACACTCACCACAAAAATTGGACTTTTACTAATTCTTTAGTCAAAAGTTATCACTTTTTATTCTATTTTATTATAAGAAAAATTGGTCACTTCTTCTCAAACTTTACAATAACTAGCCATTCCGCATGTGTGGAGGCTTTCTTTAAAAAAATTTAAAATTTATTTTAGAATTAAAAAAGATAATTGGTAATCATGTTCCATAAAAATAGGATCCTTTATCTGATTTTTTTTTAATTTTAATTTTTTTTAATATGAAAAAGTGTGAATTTATCATATTATCTTTATTTAATTAATAATTTCAATTCTTAATATTTGCATTAACCAATGACATTTTTTAGTATTTTGAATGTTTCGCATTTTATGGTATCTTAAATGTTTCACCATTCTCTGCCTTTTGCTTTATATATATAAATTATATAAAATTCACTTTAAAAAAAAAGTCACCACCACTTCTTCTCAATGCATAACATTGTTTAAAGTTTAGATAAATAAAGAACACCCCCCCAAAAAAAAACTTTTAGAGTGCTTCCATTTTTATTTTTTGGGTGCACGTGCTTCTATTCGTATTCTTAATTTTGTTTATCTCAACACCACAAGTTTTCTTTTTCTTGATGGTGAGCTCGACAAATTCGGTGTAGTGGAAGCTTTCACGAGGAACGAAAGAGTTATTTCATTTACAGAACAAAAGAGTCATTTCATTTACAGAACAAACGAGTTATTTCATTTTGTTAATATTTTCATGAATGCGAAGCTGTGGATTTCTACTTGGGAAATCTGCTGTAGAACATAACATATCACCAGACCAAAAGCCATCACCAGAGAAGAGCATATCACTACCAGTTGCGGGCCCCAAAAAAAACGGGACGTTTAACTTAGAGCTTAACTCTTATTGGCCTTCAGACCCAAAAAAAAAAAAAAAAAAAAAACTCTTATTGGCCTCCTCAAATTTCCACATGGACGATACATCTTTGCTTATGATTATGAGAACCACTGCTGACTGGTAAATCTTAAGCTCAGATGATGCTTGGTAGTGAACTACTGAAGGAGGACTGTGATGGGTGAATCCTTGCATTTGCGGATCTCTTTCTTTTTGCTGGAAATTTTTTTTGCCTCTCGATTGCAGAAAATATTTTAGCACCACTATTTACAATAAAAATGCACCTCTATCAGACCTCTCCTGAGAAAAGTTGCAACTTGTCTTCACTCACGCAACCAAGTAAACCTTTTCCCTGAGAACGTGCGTACTTCACATCAAGGATAGGATGTTGATGGGGTTCAAAATTCTGGCTCATTTTTAGACTTGGCAATTCCCGCAGCTTCAGTCCACGGGTCACTTCGTCACCATACGCAAACAATGGGTAGCAGTTCGGTATGTCTACCATGGCAGACTTTGTCAGATGAAAGTCACTTAAATGAACTGGCACAGATCCAATCTTATGATAAAAGCAACCAGCTACCCTCTTGATAAGAACTTGAGAACCCCCAGTCTCACTGGATGTCTCGGTTTTAGGACGATATGAAGCAACAATGTCGTCAGTTGAGGGACTGTAAGCAACTGATACACAAGCACCTTGATCCTCTGATCCAGGGACCAGAAAGGGCCTTCAAGAGATGTTTAGATACAAGTTAGTTAGAATGTCAACCAGTTCATAACATGCTGTCTTTAAGCATTGCTGTTTCTATTACTATAAAGTGAACATGCTACCATAGTACCATATATGGAGCATTTTGATATTCTATTTTAGCTTTTTCAACTTTTTAACAGTGAGAAGTTAGCCTTTTTAGAAGAGCTGACACAACATATTATAACCAAATGGACTAATCATAACAAGTTCATAAGACTAACCTTTCACTAGGACTACCAATGTTCCACATGCAAGGGCCACTGCAAGAAGCAGTAAGCAATTTCTGAGTTCTGTGACTGAAAGCAAGGTTTTGCCGAAGGGAGTGTATAGTATGAATTGGCCGGGGGGTCAGCCCAACGAAAGAGTGCAGAGGAGTCTGGCTATGACGCATATCAAACATTAAAAGCATACCATTCTGCCAAATTATGAATGAGATGATCAGCATTCCAACAATAAGCTAATATTTATCAAATTATAATAGCATGATGCTGAATAGTTAAAATGAATAACACATTGAAGGCCAAAATCATCATCTCAACCAAAAATGGACACAGAAAGGGGTGAACAGATATGGATCTGCTACTACAATATTTAAAATGACACTATGCAGTATCATATCATGTATGTATAACCCACTTCATAAACAGACCCAAATGATTATAAGCATATAACTAATAGTTAAGGATCAAAACCTGTAAACCAGCATATATATGATGTGGACTGTTGAGATCCCATGAGCACGACCATGCTTGGCCCTGGATATACCATGTTTATTCAGAAAATAGTAGACAAAATAGAAAAACAAATGGTAATGGTAGTACAACAAATAGTCCATATAAAATTAATTAATGTGGCTCCATAACTTGGAACCATGAAGTACGGCAAGTATAAAATATTATAATACAATATACGCAAGCAATAATACCACATGACTATGAACTTTTAGAAGTCCCACTTCAGGGATCCAATCTTCTGTTAGATCCCTGTAGTCTGCCATGGGGACACTGATTCGATCACAGACACCACTTATTCCAAAATTTTAAAAACAAAAAAAATTGGATGTGCTGCAGTTAAGGAAGTCTGGACACACACACGTCACACACTAGCAGAAAAACAACAACATTTCTTCTCTAGACTTGCAATATAGAGAATAAAGGAAACATTGTACCGGTAAGTCATAATTCATGACAAAATTGTTGCTTCCCATGCTGAAACAAAAACGGAAACAAGTAAATTCCAACAACAAATTGCACTTAAAGAATCACATTGGCCAAAAGGATAAAATAGGCAAACCTAAGAATTGATAATTTCTTTCCCAATGAAGCTAAAAGGGTGAGTCTACCACATGGGGATACACGTAGGTCCTTAATGGCTTTTGTACCTGGAGGTAGCTGTATATCTTCATTTTCTAAAGGATTGATCAAGTTGACCTGTGGCAACAGAAATCTAAAACCGATTATGCATACAAGGTCTGGAAAAGTAATAAACTCAAAGACATGTATATGATGGTGCAAGCTATTTTTTTCCTCTATTTTTTCTGGGGCTCAAAAAGAACATTACTTTCTTCAGCATGTGTGTGCCACCCATTCCCGATATCCTTCGAGCAAGGACCAAAATTTGATAAGAAGCATCCATATCAAAAAGCCTTGCACCATCTACTGCCAACTCATGCTGTCAATGTTAAATCTATTGCGATTAAACAAATGACATGTAACTAACAGAAGAGAACACTTCAAATGACAAAACCAAGAATCAGCCTCCTAGAATTTTACTCATGGTAGAGGTGAAGGTGTGACAAGCCTGAAAAGCCAACTATTTCATTTGGAGGTTTAAGAAGTATCCATCGATAAATAATATACATCATATGAATTCAAAATTTTAAAATAAAGTCATGGATCACAAGCTTAAGATATCAAACTAGATCAAATTGAAATGTAATAAAGTTGGAGAAAGAATAAGAATAGATGCACCTGTAATTGAAATTTCCAGTGAAGAATTCCCAGTCTGCCAAAATTATGAGCAAAGTAGTGATCTGCATTATGACACAACACCTATTAAAATAATCCACTAAATCATTATGCACATACTTTAAATGAGAAACAATCAATGTTTGTGCCATGTTGGACCATGATGAGGTGGCTCACAATGCAAGAAAGATTTTTAGACACCAAAAATCATTTGAAAATAAATAAAGAGGTGCAGAAATTCAAATTATGAAGGGCAAAATAAAAACACGATTGTACTAAGGTGATGCACATGCATAACGATTTGAAATACTTAAAAGAATGATAATCTGCTTTCCCTTAGCCTTCTACCCTGTGTAATACTTGGACACCATTGTATTGGGAATCTGAAAGATGATTTACACTATGTGTACTATATATAACCTCTTAGGATCACAAAACAGGCGCTAGCTGTAGTATGCGCAATCTTGGGACCAAAAAGACAAAAAGGCGCTATTTAAGTCTATTAGAAACAACCAACCAACTGAACAGAAATTTGCAAGGTAAAGTTCTCAAAGAGAAATATTACCCCATTGCGCTCCCTGTCCCTGATTACCCTTAGCAAACGTAAAACTAAAGGGCTCCATCCCTGTCTCTCCTAAAGGTGCATCATCTCCACAGCAAGGCTTCTACAAAACCAAAATGGGGTCATAAGTGCAAAAGCAGTGAGCAAAGGACGGATTTAGGCTATCTGAACAGCAAACTCAGATAAAATGAACAGAATAGTAAATGCTTAATTTAAAACTGTTAAACACACCAAAAACTTTGTTGTTAAACTCAAAAGGATACATTAGTGTCCTCCGTAACTTAACTGATCACAGAGAATGAATGCCCAACACCATAAGGAAGAGGAAATTAAGATGATATATCTCTTGAAGGAAAATTTAGTTTAAGAAATATCAATATGAACAAAATATACCTCCCTGAGGTTGGATAATTCCTTGATTAAATTTTGTTGTACACTGAACAAATCATCTTGTATATCAAGTAAAGAAGCTCTCTGCACATGACAGGAAACGACATCAAAGCATTCTCAAGCTGATATGAATGACAAACCAAACCTAGGAAAACAGACACCAATGTTATATAATACTTGATTTTCAAACATCACAACAATCTTATGATAAGGATTAATATACTCACTCATGCACATGTAGCAACCAGAGGAGAAAAAAGGGTGAGGGCACATGCGCCCGTGTGTTACACACGTGCAAACTTTAAAAAGGTGCAAAGAAAATTCGGTTGTCCATTACTGGTCAGAGGATCAAAAAGTTAGGATCATCACAAACATTGACCCCATTAAAGTGCTGACCTGAGAGGGAAGAAGCAGCTGTAGTCTCAATCTTTAACATTTTTGCATGAAGCTGACGCTCTAAGGAACTAAACTAGCAGCCTAAAATTTCTCTTTGTAGTGGGCTTTATAAAAGAATGTGATTTATGGTGGCGATTATGGGATTGTGCACCCTAGGGTTCAGGGGTTAGTATTTGTCGGCTAGGCCGGCCTATAGCCCAGGCTGCTAGGAAAAAACTCATAAGAAAATTTTTCAGCCTATCTCAACCCTCATATCCAAACCCTCTACAAGGCCCTGCCTGCCCCCTAAAGACCCAACCTGCCCCAACTTAGACTACTGGCTCTGCCACTTCTAAGGTTCTTGGTGATGGTATTGAAATGGCTGTCAAGAACTTGTTGAATAATAGGTATTTGAACAATAAAAGGACTTTAAATTTTACAGCATGTTTTGTGGTTTTGGTTATGAATGACTTTAGCAGAACTTGCTCTTTAGTGGCTGTCCTGGTAAGAGACCATAAATTTTGCAAGTTGATAAATATAATGATGCACTAGTAGAAACTATAACAATAAAATTATGACTAGAGGCAGATCTTAAGATGCTTATGTTGTCAGATTGTCAATATGAACCATTGATTAGGTTGATTCTTGCCTGAATTACAGTCCATATTCATTTTGGCAACATTAGACTGGAAAGAGAACATTACCCTATAACTGGAAGCAGCATGCATGCAATGCGATGGAAGTTACAATAAGAAGAGAAAAAGTAGTGAATGAGAGAGAGAGAGAGTGGTTTAATAGATGCACTGATCTTCTTTTTTAAAGTTGAAGGGAACATTGATCAATTTCAAAGTTTAGGAAGACACTGGAACTCCAGTCAAAATTTTGAGGAGATATTTCATATTTCCCTTTTCATTAAACATATAGATGCTCAACCCTTTCTTCCACATTATAACAAGGCTGAGGGCCATATACGTAACCAAAAGCCTGACCATAAAGACAGAGAATGATAGATCATGTGCAAGAACAATAATAAATGAGTGATAAGAACTAGATAGAAAAATACAACCAAATTTTAACTAAGAAACCAAACAATATGCAGCTTGCTAATCTGAAAATTGGTAGTCTTACTTCAGTCTTGAGAGAGACGACTTCAGCGTCAAGTGATTTCACTTTCTGCAGAGGTAGAGTTCTTATTCAAAACAATATCCATCATTAATATTTGAAACTTGATAACATGAGATAATACATGATTATCACCTTTTGTAGACTTTCATCAAGCACAACTACTGGTGATGCATAAAGCTTTATTATGTCCTTCAACTTGTACTTTGTATTGCATTGTGGACACTACAAAAGAAAATTATGGGTGAAATGAATGTAGACAAATGATAAATAAAAAAAAGGAGCAGAAAGAACCTTTGCAGACGTTCCACCACACTGCTGAATCCATTTACTAATGCAAGACATGCCATATACATGACCACAAGGAAGACAGCTGCAAACCACAGCCATACAACTCCCAAAATTGAGCAAAATATACAATAGGAGAGGCAACATTCCACAAGAAAATGAGCATTAACCATATTTAAAATCACAAGCGGAATGTCAACTAATGTATCAGAATAAAAGCCAAATGACATAGAGAATGAGCTTAGTTAATGTGATTTGCAAAAGATATGATACGTAGAAACACCTGGTGGAATAAGAATGGTGAGAAAAGAAAAATTACTAATTTAGAGATAGGACCGCATAGAACCGTTAGGATTCCCAATTTGAGTTCTTCTCTGCTTCTGAGATGGTCTTGGGTTTATAGGTTAATTTGAGAAAAAGACTTAGGGTGGGTGACCCTGGGGCAAGGTGATAATTTTTCAAATTTTTGGGTTGCAGTATTTTCTTTTTCCTTGCATATTTCTGAATCTCCATTGATTCTTAAGTTTTAGAATGATCTTATTTGCAGGTTTCAAGTAAACTATTAGAATGAAAGAGCAAATTTTCTCTAAAGGAGGCACAGTTCTACCAATTATTGGATGAAAACAGCTTCTACAAGAAAACCACAAAATTTACAATGACATTAAAAGTAACATAATCGCTTCTCCCAATGTAATCAACAATCCGTTTCTAAAGAACACAACTTTACTGATTAAAAAAAGAGAACAAACTTCCAAAATCATCAAACAATTGGGAGATTGTACTATTATAAGAACAACAAAAAGAAAAGTTCAACAGACGTGAAAACAAAAACCAGCAAATTTTCAATGAAAATCAAAACTTTTCCACGGAACCCAAAAAATGGTATCTCTAACCTGACTTGATGATCGCCTTGGGACGACCACGACTCCATACAAATAGGGCAAAAGAACCCCTCCGAATTGCTCACACTGAAAACCCTCTTCCTTGTACCTTCTTCCCCTTCGTCCCTCTTATTGGAAGACTGAGAAGGCAGGATTTCTTGGCCCTCAGGCATTGGAGTTCGACCATCGGTTTGCTGTTGTTCTTCTTGTTCTTCTTCACCATCGATAAGCATTGCCACGACACTATCAGAAGGCTCAGAAGTAGACATTGTGAGCTCGTCTCTCTCTAAGCTCCGTCGTTCGGGAAGTAAAGTCGTCAGTCATGCAAAGGAAAAAGAAGAAACAGCGTTTTGTTTTGTTTTTTTAATCGTTTACTTGAGATTGAGAAAGTGGTGCCGCCAAAATCTGCTTGGGTCACCCAAACCCAAAGCATAAAATTCTGGCCCAGTCAGTTTTCTTCTGAAGTTCAATCCTACCTGGCTTCATTTTCAAAGCCCAAATTTCATTGGGCCGAAACAATACGAGCCCAAATATGTGTTTCTTCTTGAGTCTCCGAAGATCCTCTTCGGACACCGACCAAATTTTTTAACAACAATACTCGACTCATTCTAAGGAAGGAGCTAGCACAAATCTTTTAAGCAATATTGCAACTGAGATATTACGATAAGGGGTTATAGCGGGATATTCTCAATATATCTTGTTTGTAAAAGCTTTTATTCTCAAATGTCAGATACTCTCAACGTATTCATACTATCTTATTTTGTATGGTTTATATCAGAGCACTTAAGATATCTTAATGTATGGCTTGAGATATGTCGGATACTCTCAACGTATTCATACTATCTTATTTTGTATGGTTTATTTGATATAAGAGCACTTATAAGAGCACTTAAGATTTCCTCAACTGTTGGTCTGGAAAAGCACTTGTCCATTTTGTGAAAAGCACTTTTCTCATTCAGAGTCGGTTGCTGCAGCGAGTATTCGTCTATAATTGCTGAGATAGAAGCAAGATCACAGCTAGATGAAGTAGCTGAAGCTGCTCTCGAAATTAGAGCTTTTTCCAATAGAGGCAATTTGGCTGAGGGAACAAAGTGAGTTGCTAGACCACAAGCAAGTATTTCAGCACCATCCAACCTTGGACCCAATGGCGGAACCATGAATTTTTTAACGGGTGAGGTAGCTAAAAATTTTGACGAAAACAAAAGTATACATTAAATCATATAAATCATGCAATTCATAACTACATTGATTTCTAATAAGAATTAACATAAAACATATATATATATATATATTAGATGCAATAAAAAAAACACATATTATTAAAATGAATATATGTTTAACAACATAATTAAAAGTGTACCTATAGAAGTTGTGCCTTGAGATCCTTGAGAGAATTGAAATATTTTGCTATTGTCATATGAATCCATCTTGTTGTTAATCAACCTATCTATCAAATTATATCTTTGTGACTTTTTCGTTTCATCTTATTCGTAAAATGATGAATTTTCATTGAGACAAATCTTTCTCTTATGGAGACAAATCAATGAAAATATTAAAATTGGAGAGTTAGGGATACAAATTTTACCTATGAGCGTAACAAAGAATACAAAAACAGCATGTATTTTTTTGTGACCGTTGCTAGGGCTAAGTTTCACATGTATATTTTTTATTTTGACATATTTTATTATAATCGAGGATACTTCATTATGTGGGAACAATTAGGATATTAGGATTTTTTTTCTTTCTTTATGTGGGACTTCAAACTTGCAATCTTCTTTACGTGAGAAACTGCCAAGAAGCCACAAGATAATAGCCTCAGCCAATGGACTATATAGGTTTAATACTTTCTTTTCCAAAAAGCTACTTGGGCTATAGCCCAATGTAGTCGACTAGGTAGTTCCGCCCATGCTTGCACCTGTAAAACCCAAATACTCTCCAAAAAATCCAGGAAGTCTTGACAAGAAATAAGAGGCACCTACATCAGGAAACAATCCCATAGCATTTTCTAGCATTGCAAAGATCGAATTCTCTGTTTCTACACGGAATTTGCCGTGTACTGAAATACCAACCCCACCTCCCATGGCAATCCCATTCAGAAATGAAACCTATTTTAAAAATATATATAAATAACAAAAGATGGTATTGAAAGTGTTAGAATTTTAGGAGGTATATTTTTTATATTAAACAAGATATGTATAAAACACACTACGTATGTATTTAATTGATAAGTTGGTTGCACATATAGTGTAGTGAGAAAGTTGGGGTGGTGGCCAATGGGTCATAGCTCAATGGTAAGAACATTTGCTTGCATATTACTGGTCATATATTTGAACCCAATGACATATTTTTCTTTTAAACTTTTGACACACACGCCCAAAAAAGAAAAGTTGGGGTGGGGTGGTGTGGTGTGGTGTGGTGTGGTGTGGAGTGAGAAAATGTTGGGTTGTGGGGTGTAGACGAATAAAATTGGAATAATATTAGGGAGGGAATTGAAATATTTGATAGGTATAAGTAGAAGCACCCCAAAATCACAATTAGCTCAAAGCTTGGCATTGGAAAATACATTCATGTTGCATCTTTGAGGGAGCTTTAACTCTTCATCACCATCCAACCTAGAGAAGTAGTGGTCAACCATATGCTCAGTGATGAGCTCCAAACTAGAAGGCTTCCACTTTGGTTTCTTGTCCTTGTCCCACAAGATAGCTCTGCAACCTTCTCTGAAGTCCTTGCTGATTTGCCCTCTCATAACATGACAAATTATTCTGTACTCGCGGGCAAGGCATTCATCCATTGCCTGCACCCTCTTCCTTCTCTAATGGATCTCAAACAAATCTTCAAGCTCATCGGAGACGCCTTCTTCAGTGATTGAATCGTTGAAGCTAACCATTCATCACCTGCCTTGTTTGCATCTGCTGTAGTAACCTCCTTCTCAAGGGCACTTAGGATATCTTCAACCGTTGGTCTGGAAAAGCACTTGTCAATGACATCCATTTTGTGTAAAGCACTTTTCTCGTTCAGAGCCGGTTGCTGCAAGGAGTATTCGTCTACAATTGCTGAAATAAAAGCAAGATCACAGCTTGATGAAGTAGCTGAAGCTGCTCTGGAAATTAGAGCTTTTTCCAAAAGGGACAATTTGGCTGAGGGGACAAGGTGAGTTGCCAGACCACAAGCAAGCATTTCAGTACCATCCAACCTGGCACCTGTGAGACCCAAATACTCTCCAAAAAATCCGGGAAGTCTTGACAAGAAATAAGAGGAGCCCACGTCAGGAAACAATCCCAGAGAATTTTCTGGCATTTCAAAGATCGAATTCTCTGTTGCTACACGGAATTTGCCATTTACTGAAATACCAACCCCACCTCCCATGACAATCCCATTCAGAATTGAAACCTGTTTTAAAAAAATATAAATAACAAAAGATGGTAGTGAAAGAAATTATACGAAAACTTCGAGCCTAACAAAAGAAAGTACGATAAAACTAATTGTACCATCTCGACTAGGCATATGTGACTTACACCATACAGTATACTAATTCACCAGTTGAGATGATACAAATAACAGCAAAAGTATCCAAAAAAAATATTAAACCTAGATTTTGAAGACATTATGGAAATTAATTTCAGACTTGCCTGGGGTTTGCTGCATGTTGCTACCAAGTAGGTTAAGGTGAGCAGCTTCTCACCAATTTTTTCACCAAATTTCAGATCTCCTTCAAGAAAACGAAGATGAACGGTGGCTACATCACCGCCAGCACAAAATGCTCTTCCTTTACCCTTGAGAATGATCAACCTGGCACTGGCATCGTCCTCATAGGCCAAGAAAAGTTGTGACAGCCGAGAGAGCATTTCAAGGGAAAGGGCGTTCAGCTGGCGAGGCCTGTTTAGGGTCAATATCCTTACAAACAAAATCTCCTGTATCAGAACCTGGTCATCAAGTTGGAAAGAAGCCATGGAAAATGATTAATTGATGTATAGAAATTAAATCGATAAGTGTAACGAAAGTTTGAAACCTAGGTGCAACTTTTTATAGGGAGGTGGAGGAATTGGAAGGCAAGCTTTTCTTTAAGTAGAAGGTAGGCTAGCTTTTTTATATTTTATTTTATACCTTCTACATATTGCATGCCTCTGTCTTCTCTTTTTTGTCTTTTTCGAACCAAAACAAAAACAAAAACAAAAAAACCTATTTATTCCATTTCAACTTACAATAGAAACAACAGAAAAATATTTTACCGTTTCATTTTGGCATGATTTTTTTTAAAACATTGACAATTAAAATTATGCAAATATTATGACAGAATTTGAGAATTCGGCCCAAAATTAATTGACAGTACAGATATTGTTGACTGATTTAAAATGTGAACTTGCACAACTTGCCTTTTTTTCTGACAGAATTTAAGAATTCGGCCCAAAATTAATTGACAGTACATGTGGTGTGGGTGGGGGAGGAACTACTACTAGGCTGGGCCAGCGTCAATGCATAAATTGGCCCTTGGCAGAAAAAAATTGTTCACACACTTGCCTGCCTTTGTGTCCCGTTCGTAAATAAGCAGCATAGGCAGAGAACAGATGAGAAGAAAAGAAAGAAATAGCAGAACATGGTTAAATTGTGCTTTAAACTTGAAGCACAATTTAAACGGGGTTTGGTATCTACAATTTGTGCTTGTGTATCTACAATATTTTTCTACCATTCAAACTTCATAATTTTAGCCTTAAAATATAATATACGTCTTTTAAGGTTCCGTTTGATAACCATTTTAATTTTAGATTTTAGTTTTCAATTTTTGTGTTAGAGTATGGACAGAAAAGAGGGAGAATGAGAGTGAAAATAAGTGTGAAGATGAGATTGAGAGGGAAGATGAGAGGGAAGAGTAACAAAAGTGAAAACTAAAACTAAAAACTCAATTCTATTTAAAATTGTTTTCACTTTCAAGTTTTTATTTTTATTTTTATAACATTTTTATTTTTATTTTTATAACATTTATTACACGTCCCTCCCCTCCCCTCCTCTCTCATTCTCACTCTCATTTTCCTCTATACTCTAGCACAAAAAATGAAAACTAAAAACTAAAATTGAAATGGTTATCAAACATGACCTTAAAATTTTCATGCCCTAAATATCAAATACCTCTCATGACTTATTTCAAATTGCTTGAAGAAACTGGAAGGATATATTCCAAATCACATTTAAAGGAGGAGTGTCATTTTCTTTTTCTGGTGGAGGACATGAAGAATGAGTATGGATATTCAATTTGTTTTGCAGCATCTTCTACTATATATTATAATAGGTTAACTACATAAAATAAAACTACCCAATTTTTGGAGGTCGTTTTAATTAGTATCAAACTTTAAAAATTTTGCACGTAAATTCCCAACCTCAGGAAAAACATACAAATTAAAAGCCACACAATCCCATCTCCCAATGTAATCAACAATCCGTTTCTAAAGAACACAACTTTATTTTCACAAGTTTTTATTTTCACTTTTATTACTTCTCCCTCCCCTCCTCTCTCAACCTCACTCTCATTCTCACTCTCATTTTCCTCTATACTTTAGCACAAAAAGTGAAAACTAAAAACTAAAATTGAAATTATTATTAAACGGGGCCTTAAAATTTTCACACCCTTAATATCGAATACCTCTCATGACTTATTTCAAATTGCTTGAAGAAACTGGAAGGATATATTCCAAAGTTTTGATTGTGTATTGGTAGAGTAACAGTAAAAGTAATAGAGAAATTACCCTTTTTACTTGTGTATTGTTCCTTATTTATAGGGAAGTGAAAGTGGGTAGTTTGCACAAAGTTTTGATGTGGGACTTTGTGCAAGTCGCTGTAGTGGTGACATGTGTCTTGGAGATTAGGTTCGGCAGTCAGAAGCTTCGGCAGGTGTCTGGCACTTTGGAAGAGTGTCTTCCTTTTTCAGAAATGAAGACGTGTCTGTTTTGGTGCTAGTCGTTTTGAGGCTGGATATACTCGGTTGATTATGGTGTAAACATACATAAAATAAAACTACCCAATTTTTGAAGGTCATTTTAAATTAGTATCAAACTATTTTGCACGTAAATTCCCAACCTCAAGAAAAACATACAAATTAAAAGCCACATAATCCCTTCTCCCAATGTAATCAACAATCCGTTTCTAAAGAACACAACTTTACTGAATTAATACTAAATAAACAAACAAAAAAACTCTCCACAACAAAAAGGAAACTTCAACATACGTGAAAACAAAACCAACAAATTGTCAGGGTGCACCCTGACAATTTGTGTGGGCTAATAAAATTGGAATAACATTTAGCTCAAAGCTTGGCATTGGCAAATGCAGGCAAGTTGGAACTTTGAGGGAGCTTCAATTCTTCATCACCATCCAACTTAGAGAAGTAGCGATCAACCATACGGTCAGTGATGAGCTCCAAACTATTAAGTCTTCCACTTTGGTTTCTTATCCTTGTCCCACACGATAGCTCTGCAACCTTCTCTGAAGTCCCTGGTTATTTGCCCTCGCAGTATATAAGGCTACTTATTTTGTACTCGCGGGCAAGGCATTCGTCAATTGCATGCACCCTTCCTTCTCTAATGGATCTCAAACAAACCTTCAAGCTCATCGGCGACGCCTTCTTCAGTAAACGAATCGTGCCATGTTTGCTTCTGCAGCCTCCCTCTCAAGGGCACTTAAGATTTCTTCAACTGTTGGTCTGGAAAAGCACTTGTCAATGACATCCATTTTGTGAAGAACATTTTTCTCGTTCAGAGCCGGTTGCTGTAGGGAGTCTTCGTCTATAATTGCTGAAATAAAAGCAAGATCAAACTTGAGGAAGTAGCTGAAGCTGCTCTGGAAATCAAAGCCTTTTCCAGTATAGGCAATTTGGCTGAGGGAACAAAATGAGTTGCTAGACCACAAGCAAGCATTTCAGCACCATCCAACCTGGCGCTTGTGAGACCCAAATTCTCTCCAAAAAATATGGGAAGTCTTGACAAGAAATAAGAAGCACCCACATTAGGAAAAAATCCCAGACCATTTTTTGGCGTTGCAAAGATCGAATTCTCTTTTGCTACACAGAATTTTCTGTGTACTGAAATACCAACCCCAGCTCTCATGGCAATCTCATTCAGAATTGAAACCTGTTTTGTTTTTATAAATAATTAACAAAATATATGAAAACTTCAAGTCTAACAAACGAAATTACAATGAAACTATTTGTACCATCCTGACTGAATGGATGTGAGGGATATACGTCATATGGAATACTAATTGACTAATTGAGATGATACATATAGTACGTAGCACTTGCGGAAGTATTCGAAAAATATTTAACACAGATTTCAA